ATTATATAAAGACGAAACTTCAACAGAAAATATAGCTATTTTAGGAAAAGATCTTGAAAAGTGGCTAAAAAGTGAAAAAAAAAACATATTACAAAATGACTGTTTGAGTAAATTTCTCGATAATTTTCATTTGTGTTCAATTTGCTCCTCTACAAAGGGGATCATGCAAAATTTACGAGTTTTTAGTTTACATGCTATATACTTAGGGGGTGTTTGAGATTGCTTATAAAAACAACTTATTGACTTATTCTGGTGTGACACCGGCAACAAGCACTTTTGAGTGTTTGGATAAACAAATTATACCGGTGCCAAACCGGAAATAAGGAGTTTTTAAATAAGTTAAAATCTTCTGACTTATAATAAGTTAATAAGTGCTTTTGTAGAAAAACACAAGTTGTTTCAAATAAGCAATCCCAAACACCCTCTTAATGTTTCTAGTGTAAGTTTAATAGCATCATTTATTAGTTTAAATTACTGTTATGTTAAAAAAAATTATAACGACCATCGATGTATAAATACTTTGCAACAAAGGATCTATTCTTACGTATTTTGTATCTCCATTCGAGATGGCAACCCATACCCGTATCCTTCTCATCCTACTTGGTTTCTTGTTCTGTTTCCTCTACCTTGATGTCTCTATCGCATTTCAAGGCACTGCGATTGATTCCAACATTCGATCGACTGACCCATACAATCAAATTTTAGATGGCGACATCTTACCGCTTGATCCAAATAACCCTGAAGTGGCGGCGGCTGTAAAGTTCGCAGTGGATAAACACAATGACGATAAAAAACAACTCTTAGTGTTTGTGAAAGTGGTGAGAGCCGAGAGTAGAGCGATCACATGAACTACTTACAACATCATAATCGCAGCAAAAGATGGCTATGCACAATATTTTTATCACGCCTTCGTTGTTGTTAACTACGTAGGTATTAGAAGAAGATGAAGAAACTGCTTGAGGAAATTGAACAACTCATGGTCATTGGAGATGGTCAGAACGGTAGGTTTGGGTTTTTTGGATTTCACGAGACTTCGAGCTTAAGAGATTCTCCGTCACAATTAGATTGGACACTAAAGTGTTTTGTCCTGTAAATTCGAGTCTTATAAAGTAATCTATTAAGACACTTAAATACTTATGGTGTCTTATAAACTTGATTTTATTGTATTGACAAAATGGTTTGCGCATTGTCCTTGTTTGAATTACTACTAACTTTTTGGGAGCGAGTTCGACCCAAGTCATTATGCTTGAGTTGGAGGGAAAAAAGGGAGATCGAGATTCTTGTAAGCACGTGAGAGTCATGTGCATGAATCGAGACCTATGGTCTAATATATTTTTCCTTTCTAACGGATTTAATATAGTAAATTCAAACATTTTTACGCTTGCCAATTTGTCCAAAGTTTTCCTATAAACGAGACTACATATAACGTGTGTGTATATATATGTATATATAGAGGAGGTTTACTTTGCAAACCACGTGATTTGTACAAATTGTATAAACCTCATTTAACTAATCATAATTTTTCATTTTGTTCATTTTTTTGTAATTATGAGAAGTTGATTAATCATTCTTATTGTGGAGGGTGTTAATCATGAATATTATCATCTTCATTTTTTTAATTTTAGAGAAATACATGAAACAATTTTATTAAAATTTCATTAAGTATTATATGAAACAATTTCATAACCATATATGAAACAACTTCATAAAAAAAAAAAGTATTATATGAAAAAATTTCACAAGATTAAACAATTTAATGAAAATTTTTCATAAGATTAAACAATGAAATCGACGGATGTGGGTGATTTGCACGATTTGTGTGTTTTGGGGCGGGGGGAAGTGGTTGGTACCTAGTAGAGGGAGTCCAACTTAAAACCACTTTTAAACTTTTTTAAAATAAAATATTCATTATATATTGATTACAAATATATAACTGGCTGGGAGGGCTTGTCCGATTTTTTCCTGGTCCAAGCCTGCCCATATTTTTTAAATGGCTGTTTGAGCCCGTTTTTCCAACGGGCCCAATGGACAGGGTCTAACGAGCGGTACTATCCATGAACAACTCTAGTGTATTGTGATATATAGTATAATGTGAAATAAAAGCACTACTTTAGATCATTTCACAAACAAATACGTATTTAATTTATTATAGAGGTCCTTCAAAAGATAGAAGGAACTTAATACCCTTGAGGTTAACCCAAACAAGGGCTCGATAGTTATTCAGTATGTCACCGTTTTTCGTTGTAATTATGATGTTGTAATGCGTTCCTTCGACCACTTGACGCTCGGCTGTCACTACTTTCTCATACACTATGATTGGTTCTGTGTCCTCATTGTATGTGTTCACTACAAACTTTCCAATCGCCACCACGTCTGGATCATTTGGGTCAACCGGTGAGAATCCACCTGCTACATTTGGATCATTCGAATCGGTTGGTGGAATGCCGGAAACAATCTCAGTGTCCTGCAATGCAATCGAACCATCAGGGTAGAGGAAATAAAAGGATAAACCAAGTAGCGCAAGGAGAAGGTTACGTGCCATTTCCGATGGGGATTATAAATTATGTGAGGATAGACGTTTTGTTGCTTTGTATTTATACTATGATCATCGTTGTTATTTTTGAAACAAAACGGTTTATTTAAGATGTCATTTTAAACGTACACAAGTAACATTTAATTTTTAGTGTGTTAATTGTAGAAACTCATAATTTATTATCTATACTACTTTATTAAACAGATTTGTCCAAAGTCTTAAAGTCTTAMCTTTATTAATACCCAAAATACCCTTACCCTCCCTTTACACGCCTCCCCTCCCCCAAGATGACTCTTCACTTTACCCGTCTCCCCTCCCCAAGAACGCTCTGCCCCCTTATCGCCTCCCAAGACGCCGATTCGCTCCCAAGATGGTTCCTTTAAAGTCGTCCATCGTTCAATCGTCGTTCACAACCGCCCAAAATCGTCGTTGCCGAATCATTCAATCGCCTCAAAATCGCAGGTTGCTTTCAGGTTGGTTTCTAATCGTTTTTAGGTTTTGCTGTAGGAAGACTCTAACAYGCTCGATTTCAAGGTCTTAGGTCTGGCTCCTCTCGATTCAAACCTCCAATTTCATACTCTCTCGATTCATGTATAATGTTTGTGGCTTCATGTTGATGAGAGCTAATTTAGGGTTTAATTCCATTTTATTTGGTTTCCTTTTGGATGATTGCTCACAAGTGATATTGATCTGGTAATATTGGGTTTGGTTTAGTTTAGAGCATTTATCAACTTGCAACATTTCAAGACCTTAACCGAGGTAAAGGTTTTATCGATTTCAAACAATCAATTTTGATGTTCTTCTTTATTCTGATCATCTCTCCAGGTATGCTTTTATCAATTTTGATGCTTTCTTTACGCTCTTTAGTCCCRAAGATTTGGTGCAGCACCTTGGAAGACAAGAGTTGGTAAGTTTTCAAATTTAAGCCACTATGAAATGTGATGTGGATATTAGGAAGGATTTGTACGGAAACATCGTGCTGAGCGGTGGCACCACCATGTTCCCTGGTATAGCTGACARAATGAGCAAGGAAATTACTGCCTTAGCCCCGAGCAGCATGAAGATTAAAGTGGTGGCTCCACCAGAAAGGAAGTATAGTGTYTGGATTGGAGGCTCCATCTTGGCATCTCTGAGCACATTCCAGCAGGTGGATTCTTATTATATGTACCTATATTGCTTATTTGCACTTGCACACACTTTGTCTGCTTCTTTCCACACTGTTCAATCTTTCTCTACCTCTTGGGGTAGAGGTAAGGTTTGTATACWTCCTACCCTCCTCCAGCAGGTCCTGTATGTGGGATATACTAATGTTTTTGGATGAWTTTTTCCTTCCTTACCTCTATATTATGTTGGTTTAGTTACCATGGGTGTGTATTTTGGATGCGGAGGATTAATGGTTATGAAAATAATGGCAGATGTGGATCGCAATGGTTGTTGATGCAGTAAATTTTGTTCCAACGTATAGAGCATATGCTTGAATCTAGATTGAGATTTTACATATAGAAGTGATGTGTTCTTTAGGATTTTTGTTAAAGTCTGATGCTTTTAGGGCTTGATTCCGAAGTCAAACATTGTAGATGTGTATACAGAACTTATGATTGCATATAGATGAGATTTTACATATAGACCTGATGGGTTGTTAGATATATGTATATATATTATATATATGTATATATATATATATATTTTCAATTTATCATGATCTATGTCGTCTTTGTTAGGGCTTGATGTCAAAGTCAAACAGGGGATCTATGAACACACATAAAAGGAACTTTAACAAAAAGTAATATTTTTCAAGAGTTGCTTGAAGAAGAGATTTTATCCTTTAATGATTAGTTTGTAYGTTCTTTAGGCAAAAGAAAATTATCATCAAGTTATATCTGGTTCCAACAAAGGTTTGGTCATTAGGTTGCTTTTAAAAAATGATCTTGCATATTACAGCTTCTTTTTGAAGCTGAAATAGCAGACCCCCCCCCGCCCCCCCCCAAAGATATGAAAAGCTAGAGGCAGCACCAAAATTGGAATCATATGACAATAATATCCAATTATGAAACAAAATATTTGGTAAAGCATGAAGGATGATTCACCATTATTAGATATTAGGAAATTGTGAAAACAAACTCAAAAACCGAAGCTAACTGAAAGTACAATGGATTGTCTAATATCAAGCCAAAGAACATGGTGAGTTGAGGGATGTTTGGCGGAGAAAATGTTTAGGTGGATGGATTCCGAGGTGTAAAATAGACAATGACACACATTCAAACATTTATCAGTTTACAAAAACATAAAGTCTAATTGATCATGCTTTTAGACTAAAACGTCATCCTTTAACAATTAGAAACTAAACAAGACTTTACAAATAAGCATCGCTTCATAAAAAAACAMCACCTTAGTAAGGAAACCAAACAAAACGTACCCGATATATCCCTTCAAAAGTAGGGTTTGGAAGTGACAGAATGAACAAAGAGCTTTTCTCTGTCCTGTTTCAGTGAATAAGTATAGCAAGTGAAGTCATTAATTTTCGTTTCTCCCTTAGTATATACTCTGTTTTTATGGTAGTGTATTGCGTATGGTTTGCTTATTACTTTTGATATGTCGTGTTAGGTTACCAGTGGAGTTGAGCGCCTTGATAACAATGATGCCATTGCATAGTGCCATTGCATCAGCATGCTTAAAATCAGGCTTATCATTAGAATCTGAAAGCTGGGGATTGGTCCCTCAAGGTATGTTTTTTRACCMTTTATTTGTTATGYGATAGTAATTATTAACTCAAAATTGTGAATGGATGAGTAATCTATTAACTACCATTAGATCATCCTCTAAAGTTCCGATTATTGTTAAATTTCAGGTTTCAATGAGAAATAATCTTTATAGAAATTTCAATGCATCATGTTTCCACAAATTATGATTGTATGAAATGGATTAAGGTACTTAGTTTATTAAGTTGTAACATAGCCATAAATGAAAAGAACTCTCATCTCTTTTAATTAATAAGGGGTCATAGATCGGGAAAAAAAACATCCGGTACCTTTTCCATGTTTCCTTCCTTGATCATCCGGTCAAATTTCGACATGTGTAAAAACATGGGGCAATACATAACGGTAGGGGATGGTTATGTAAATGTAGGGGAGTACATATATAAACTAAGATAGAAAATACAAATGTTATTGTTAATAACTATGAAGAATCATAAGGTTGAAGCCATAAGTTTCTTAGGGCGTGTTGCGTTTGAACTTTGACGGAATGTTTTTGAGGGATTTGGTTTTCGTGAAAGGATTTGAAAATTTTGGAATGGAATTGAATTCCATTCTTTAGAAATAACTTACGAAAATTTAAWTTTTTTTTTTCTAATTACCTTTTTATTAATTGATTATTACAAAAAAATGGTTTTAACATATTTTAAAACATTATTACAAACAAATTCTATGAAATCCCGCTAAATACCAACTACCTCCATGGGATTTCAAATCCAAGCATTCTTTCAAATCAAATATAGGATTGAAATGGAATTCAACTGCAAATCCTGCAAAACAATCAGGACTCTATGGTTATTTCAAGTCGGGTATGCCCTATCACGTAATGGTCTAAATAATAATGTATTTTTTGATATTTCTAGATACATTATACGTTATTAGTATCATTTATTTGGTTCTAACATTCTTACATGATCGATATTGCAGGCATTTCAATGCCTTTATGACRACACCGTTCMTGAAGCAGATGTTCGTATGAGTAGGAACACAAGTCGAACAAGTTCCAACTTTCGAAATGTAATGTGACTTTAGGATATGAAAATGTTGTGTTCAATGCGTTATACAAGATCATATTTGCTCAAATTTCAATCCTTCTTTTGATTGTTTCCCATCAACCTGAGTTGCATATGTTGTTCATTTGGAAAATAAAGCATGGAAGTTGTAGAAAGGATCTATGTTCATGGAACTAAACAGTTGGGCAGGTATTGTCTTGTCTTGTCTTGTCGTTTTCTGGATATTTGTGCTCTTTATCCGAGCCGCTTACCTTTCGAACTCCTATTATAACAATGCTTAACTGCTCATCTATACACGGGCTTCAGGGTAGGTGCTTAACGGTAAGAGTAAAAACTCTTTACTTATTTTATTGGGTAACGTTCTCAAGTCAACCAACAAAATGGATTGTTGGGTAACGTCTCTTTATTTGGTAAGCGCTAATCGGGTAAGAGTCTTCTTCACTTAGGGGTCGGTTACTAAACRCTTACCCGGTAAGTACTTACCGGGTAATTTTTCTCACCAGATGGATTGTTGGGTAACGTCTCTTTTTCTTTTCATGTTTTCAAGATACTTTTGACAGCTTTCATACCTBTATGTTTTCTTTGCATTTCACAAGGTGAGATTCAAACTGATATTTACCATAAGTTATCAAAAGTTCTTTCAATCATATCCCATTCATTTGCTTTATAACTCTGGATCTCGCTCTCGATCTCTTGATTCTTTGCTTTTGATGTAAATAAAATACATTTGTGGAGTCGTTTAAATATGTTGAATTTTAAATATATTAGATTTTTTTTCATCGATAGACTGTAATTGAAACCATAACTCTTATTTATTCAAATTGTATTAATATGTAAAGACCAAATGTAACTTATATCATCATTAAATCTTCTCTAATAAAACCAGTGAAACTTCAAAATCGTTAAAATTCACGGCTCCCGCCGCATTGCGCGGGTACACAACTAGCAATACTAAAAGGGTATTCATGCAATGCAGCAAGATACATCTTGATTTTAATATTTCGTTTTTTTTTTTTTTTTTTGTATATGAAAATGTTATAATACAATTTTAAATGGTTTTGAGAAAATGATAATATTTTTGATCCATAAAGACTTGAAAAAAAATATCGATATTAGAATCAAATTAAAGATTTAAAAAATCTCGTTTTTTGTGTAATTTGATTAGCTCAGTTTTTTTTTTATTATAATTTAATTTAAGTTTAATAATAAAGTAAATTTTTTAGGTTTTTGTAAAAGATTTATTTTCAATTTAAAGATATAATTTTTTATAAAGATAATAATTAAGTATTATGTTAAAACTTAATGATTATTCTAATTATATTTTATATTTGTATATTTAAAATAAGATATTTATCTTGTATTTGATTATATTTATCTGCAGTTAATTACACATATTTAAAATAAAGCTTTAATAAATTGTACTTATTCACAAATTACTTGTAATCTTTAAGTAATATGCATCAATAAACAGTACTTGATGTATAAAAAAATAAACTGTAGTGTTGGTTCATGTACTTTACCAATTTCATAGATAGGTCCTTACTTTAATTTGCAAATTTGCTTATGTGATATCAATTTTGCTGAGTTTTGCTCCAACCCACTAATTGTCGTTAACTTTCATATTCTAACAGATCGTCGACCAAACAGTATAAACTCCGCTCACTCTTCTTCTACCTTGACCTTCCTCCCCAACGGTGAGTACTCTCTCTCCCGTTCAAATTCCGATCAAACCGTTCAAGGCATCTCAACGGCTTTACTATTTTGGACAAATCCTATTGTAGTTTCGATAAAGTGATAGGTTAGTTTTCTTTTAAATACAATTATCTATTAAAACTTAAAACTAATAGATTATTAGTATATTCTTTTAATCTTTTCACCTTCAAACAATTAACACCATCATCAAAATAACTATATAAAGTGTAAAGAGAGTATTAAAGATTGAGATACTAATCCTAAAGAGTTGGCCCTAAAGTTTAAAGAATTAAGGATTTATACCCAAATTAACATCAATATAAACAAACTAACCATTAAGAGTTGACCCAAATATAATCAAGTCAACCCTAAAGAAAAAATAATTATAATCTTACACAACGAAGGGGCCGTTTACCAAACACTTACCCAGTAAGTGCTTACCAGTAAAACTTAACACTATCAATTACCTACCAGGTAAGATTTTAGTCCACTAAAACGATATTATATGCAACAATTTACCCGATAAGCGCTTACTGTGGTAAGAGTAGTCGCCCTCACTTACTGGGTAAGACTCTTGGTCCTTGTCTCGATGTTACAGGGTAAGATTCTTGGTTCTTATTATATTCATTCGATAAGGTAATGTGACTTGATAAACGTTTACTCGGGTAAGCGTTGGTAAACGGCCCCGAAAGGCAATGTTGGATTAAATCTTTTCTTTGTTAATTTTATCAATAATTAATGTTGGAATTTAGCTGATAAGGTTGAAGGTCAGGCATGTCTTTAGCAAATCAAGTATTACCTGCCTCAAGTTATCCATGATTTCGAATCCAGAGCAAAGCTGAAGGAGGCTTGGTAACTGGAAAATATCAAACATGTTGTAGAAACCAGGCATCCATTACCTGCAATGTGGAAAAAAAAGAAGCATAAATTCTTTACAAATATCGTCGAGAAGAATCTCGTGAAAATAGTCAAAATTAACGATCAGGGAAGTTAACGTACCATAAGAAGAGGAAACATTTGCATTTGGAGTCAATTTCCATCCCATGACTCACCTAATGCATCTACACATGAATAACAAGTGCTTGTTATATACTGCATTTCATAAAATAAACAAAACCTTATTAGCCACAAACCTAAGACATCCGAGGAGTCCCCAAATAAGTTCCCAAACCACTGTGTGGATGTCCAGTCATCCATTCCAATTATGTGTCTGAAACGATCTCGGAAGAGGAAATATCTCCCTTTGCTGAATTCAAATGCTTGTAGATCTCCACCCACAACTTCTTCATCTGCTTCTTCAAATGCTTGTAGATCTCCTCCACCCACAACCTCTTCATCTGCTTCTTCAAATGCTTGTAGATCTCCTCCACCCACAACCTCATCTGGTTCTTCAAATCCTTGTAGATCTCCTCCATCCACAACCTCATCTGGTTCTTCAAATCCTTGTAGATCTCCTCCATCCACAACCTCATCTGGTTCTTCAAATGCCAACAAATCTCTGCCAACAATTTCATCATCCTCCCTTTCAACTTGATCATCTTGTTGATTAAAAGACGTAACTTTTACACCACACTCCTTTACCTGAAAAGCATCTCCTACGATGAAAGAAATAGTGGCTTCATTGCCACATTCCAACTGGTTTCCAAAATTCCATTGGCTTAACCATGCCAATTCTTCATGGTCTGGAAGACCAAAGAATACAGGACAATATATCCATGTAAGATTTTTGGTCTTATTGTCCACTTTAATAAATGCTGGATGAGGACTCCAGACTTCATCAATGTCGGTTTCCCCATATACACAACAAACATTCAAACATTTTAACCTAGCATCTAGTGGAACGGTAAACGATACCGATGAATCCCTGACTTTGTTTTCCTCGAACCAGCTGGGAACCTCTCCACTTGGGATAAACGTGCTAAATATACCAAATTGAAACAAACCCTGATCAATAGCAACAATGGACAAATGTTAATACCAAAACCCAGAGGCCTTAGGCATGAAGGAAGCAAATTGTGAGGTTACTAGTGGATTTTACGAGGTGCTGTGTGCTGTGTGCATATGAGAGAGAGAGAGAGAGAACCTGGATAGGGCGCTTCCCGTTGTAATAGGAAAACCCATCATCAAGGTATAATTCAAGATTTCCCATTGATCCCACATTTATCAAGCCTAAGTCATTGATTATTTCTTGGTTGACTTTTGAAATCGGTTCCAACCGGAAATAGCCTTCTACCTCGACTAGCTTTCTGCAATTTTCTTTTACAAGGTTAGATAAGGCAAGCCCATTGAGAGAAGTAACCCTTTCAAGTGATTTGCAGTCATCTAGCCACAAGGCTTCTAAACTACTCGGTAGATCTACAAGCAATTGCAGCTGTGGACATGAAGTGAAGTCTAGGATCTCAAGCTTGCCAAGACTTCTGACAGCATCTGGCAGAACACGTATTGGATTTTTGCTTAAATTTAAATGCTTCAACAAGGACAGGTTACTGAAATCCTTAGGAAAAGAATCTTGTGAAAGGTTGCTGTTTGCAAGATGCAGCTTCACCAAAGAGCCTGGTAAAGAAGCCCATACTGCATCAGGATTTTTAGGAGGTTTTGACCAAACAAATGGATGCCACCATTTCTTTTTCCTAGCTACAGTTAATAATGGGTTTATTATGGTACTCCCATCAGCTCGAAGCTCTTTCAGTGACTCCATATTCCTCAAATCCATAGGAAATTCACCAAGACTTGAACAACCAGAAATAATTAGTGTCTCAAGATATCTGAGCTTCCAAAGTGTTCGGGGAAGATTAATTAGATTCTTGCAATCTTCTAGATCAAGCAACGTAAGATCCTCAGACTTTGCAATAGATTCACAAATCTCAACTAATGTAACACAACCTTTGAGCAGCAACTTCTCTAGACTGGGCAGTCCTGAGAAGTCTGGTGTTTCTGTAAGCCCTCGTGAATAACTGAGGTTAAGAATCCTCAAACATCCAAGAAGCTGTAAGTGAATAGATAGAGGTTAATCATACACTTACATGGTTGGATGATCAAGAGTAAAGAACAAACTAATATCATACCTTGGTTCGCTTCCAAACTTGCTCCAAGTTGCTATAAGACAAATCAAGAGAAACTAAATTTCCCAATCGCAAGTCACCTGGTAAATACGTTGAAGGAAACCCATGCCAACACAACCATCTTAAATTTTCAGGAAAGTAGTCATAACATCCATTGAGTTTTACATAGTTGATCCTGAGTAATTTTAGGTCGTCCAGCTTTGTAAATGCATCAGTTTCCAAATCCATTTCATTTGGGCATTTTAATTGACTGTGCACCCATTCCCAAGAGAAGATGGTAAGATGCTGTCGTTTTAATGATGTTTGATGGCTTGATGACAGGAATGATTCATCAGAAAATGTTTCACGTTGACGCTTTCGTGAATCATGACCATAGAAAGTTGATTGTGCAGATTTCTCCTTCTTGACCATACGCATGTCGAGTGTGAGGCCTTGAACTCTTTTCGTACCCTGTTATAATAAATAAATAGGTGCACATTATCAGATAGGTACTTATACCTCATCTGCTCTAAATCATAAGCTTTAGATGAATGTGTCTTACGCTTTTCTCCTTTAACACACTGAATGAGTCTACATGATGCCACAGTCTGCTGCGCTCCCCTGGCCTTGTAGGTGATTCTTTCCGAACAATTTCTCTAGCCATATCTTGAATTAAATGATGCATCATTAACTTGGTGCCGAGTTCAAGATTTAGAAGACATCTATCAACAAGATTCTGGATCCCAACTGTTGAGAAGAAGTCGCACTTATCTAGTATTTTACTAACACAGTCTTTGTCTTCCCCAATAAAGAAACAAGCAATGTGAAGGAATAGGTTTCTGTCATGGTCGTCTTGCAAACAGTCATAACTTACTTTGAGTTTCTGTATGATTTGTGCATCAGGAATTGCTTCCAATTTTTCTAGTGCACTTCTCCATAAAGCTGGACTTCTTCCCGACAAAGAAGACCCTAAAACTAGAAGGGCTAAGGGAATCCCCAGACAATGGCGTACTACACGTTTGGACAGATCCACGTAACCTTCAACCGGATGTTTTTTCCCAAAGGCATGACAACTGAAGAGCTCCAGCGATTCATTGTCATCTAATTTTTCAACTGTATACACTTTATGTACTTTATCACCTTTTAAGAACCACTTATTCCTCGTCGTTATAATGATTTTACTTCCTGGATGGAACTCTCGCTTCCCAATCAGTGCATCTAATTGGTACATTTCATCCACGTCATCCAAAACAAGCAGACTCCTCTTATGGCACAATGACTCTTTAATCTTGGTAATACCTTCATCAACATTCCATACTTTTGGCCTTTCCCCCTTCAGAACATTTGAAAGAAGTTGATTTTGCAGCTGAACTAAACCACTTGGTTGTTCACATGTCTTCCTAATGTTTGCAAGAAAGCTGCTGCATTCAAATCTTTTGAAGTTCAAATTATAAACAAATTTCGCTATGGTTGTCTTTCCGATTCCTCCCATCCCACATATAACAAGCAACTCAACATTGGTTGATTTTTGTTGTAGCCACAAACTAATGTTTCGGGAACGGAATTCTATTCCAATTGGGTAGCGAGCAACTCTCACCATTGGTCGACTGAGCTTGTCTTCGATCACGTTGACAGTCTTTTGAATAAACTTTGCCTCGTACCTAAATATGGTCAACATAAAAAAGGAATGAGAACTCAGAAAGAAAAGAGAAAGAGAAATACGAACAGGGAAAGAATGTCGTTGTGATGCAATCATCATTGTATTTTGTATTTGGACATAGTTATTTTGTCCATGGGAGTATATCAGCCGGCCATATAGCTTTGTGCCAGAAAATGGCTCCGGTATTCAACCAGAAAACCTGAACCCTTTAAGCCATTCCTTCTATGGGTAAGTCAAGTTCAGTTACAAAGTTCCTCCCTCTCTACTCATCCTTCCCCGCTCCTAGCTTAGTGAAGCTCGTACGCTATTAGAGTCCTCCATCAGCTAGACTTAAACCATTTCACCTCTATATATGTAGGAACACCCCTTCTCTCCTCAAAGGCTCTTGTGGAGAGTAAATCACCACATATTCTCACATGGTCTCAGAGCCAAGGTCTACCATCTAAGGACTCGACATTCTCTGGCTATCTGTACTCAACTATCCCCCTCACCTGTCTAGATACCTCTCGACAATCTGTGTACGACTAGCCTGTGTTGAAGGGGATGTGTTAAGAGTCCTACAACGATCATCGGTCAAACATAGATCATTTCACCTCTATAAATGTTGGAACCCCCTTCCCTCCACAAATAAATCTTGGTTCCACATATATTTCAGATAATGAGCTTATGGATAGTTCTCGGTATCCTTTGTGTACAACTAAATATATGCTCCTTTAATCCCAAATCAAACACGTCTTCTGACCTTTATTTGAACTGTTTCTCATTTACTACATCTATGGTTGGAACTCAAACTGCAATTCAACACATTGCCCAAAAGAAAAGCAAAAAAATATATATAGTGATAAGTGCTGATTTCCAAAACGAAAGGGGTCAATACTTCCTTTTATAATTTTAAAATTAGCTTTTAATCATGTAACAAAAGCTTAACTGCTTATGAAAAGATTTAGATAAATTTACCCTTCAGCAAAATTATGCAAAATCATCCCATACTCCGACGCCAAGTTTGCAACTTCACCAAGAGCGGATCTCCATTCATGCCTCCATCCATCAAATTCTTCTCTAAATTCCCCTTTTTGCTTCAGAAACTCCGACGGATCAAGGTGATAGAATACAGGCAACACGAATTGCCCAATTCTCCTTCTACATTCAATAATCAGCACGAGTTCATCTAAACACCGTTTGGACAAAGCGTAGTTTTCAGAAAGTACAATTACTGAGACTCTAGAACGTCTGATTGCTTCGTGTCTCTCTAGCTCACCAAATTCGTATATGTTTCTGAAGGTGCAAAGGCCAGACTGCAACAAAGCTGTTTGCAGATGATCGGTGAAAGTTTTTCGAGTGTCCTTGCCTTTGAAGCTCAAGAACACGTCGTAGTAGTAGCTTGGAGAAGAAGTTGAAGGTTGTCCAGCAGGAACCAGAGCCATCTTTCACGGAGCTATTGCAGTTGGGGGAAGGATACAATGGACTGCTTATAAATCAAAATCTCAAACAAAATTTTAGGTCAGGGTTGTTCGGTTTTTTTTTTTTTTTCAACAGGTGTACGATAGATATAGCTGTTTATATTGATACTGTATATGTATATTAACAGATAACAGATAACTTATTATTTGATTGTTATGTTGAATAAATAGTTTATATGTGAGAATTGATATTTTAACGTCTTTATTGGTTATCTTTTGCTTATCTTTTGCCATAAGCCGATATCGAAGAGGCCCTTGATCTCTTATAGTTGTTCATTTTTTGTAGAGATTGTTCAGTAATAGTTTAATGGGTTGTATAACATGTATGGCTTATTCAGCAAGTCATGCATTGTTGTTCAGAAATGACTTATTATTCAGAAATGAGCTTATTCGCTGGACCTTTTGAGTAGATTCATATACGCTCAACCCTGGTCTTTCCATTCCTATCCTTGTGATAAAACCAAAAAAAAAAGCACACCCTAAATCTATTCTCCTGAACAATGGATCAACGTTCCTTGGATCAAAAAAGTTATGATCAATTCTTCCCTCCCTCCCTCGATTTTGGTTTGTCGTCGCCATCCCTTGGCTCACCATGGTTCGCAAACTGTAGGTATGTCTCTCTTTGCAATGGCGACTTCCAATGGCTTCCTCACAACACCAACGAAAACCATGCCAAACGATAAAACTTTTTCTTCTTCCTCTGCTTCAAGGAAGCACCACCATCATCACCAGAAAATCATCAGTTTGTCCTCTTCCTTTAAGGCCTGATTTGAAGCCTATAATCGTCTCGGATTCCAATTTAATTTTCACGAGGTCGAGATGGGTACACGTAGGCCTCTCATACTCCAGATGGTCCATGATCCTACTGCTCTTGATGCTAGGTGTCGGTTTCAGGTTTGATCCAGTTTTGAACTATTGTTTATTATACGTTGGTTAACTATGGAGTTAATTTGTAGTTAGGGTTTATGATTGAAAGTACGAACCAAGTTTTGGGATATGTATTGGGGATAATAATTGCTAAGCTTTGATTTTTCCTTCAATATAAAACAAAGGGGTAAAATAGTAATTTTCACCATTGAGACTGTTTATATTGCATAACAACCGAACAACTTATCAGTTATCATACAGACAGCTTTATCACTACATATAACTTTATTCATACATGATTTAATGGAAAACGAACAGAACTACCCCTTAGTATTGTAACGTTATTGTATCATTAAGATATCGTATAATTTATAAAATGTTATTTTATTTCTTATAAGAACATCTATGAGCTTTTCTAAAATAGATAAAAAAGTGAATTACACTTTTTGTCTTTATGACCGTCACTTACTATCAACTTTAGTTCTTATTTCAAATACATTTTTGATCACCGTGTTTGTCGTTTTGTTTCAATTTTGGTCCTCTAGCTAACTGCACTTAAAAGAGTAAGTTAACTTAAAGATACTTTAGTCTTTTAGTCATTTTCTTTTATTTTAATTGAAAAATAAAACACACACACACATACATATATATATATATATATATATATATATATATATACACTAATATACAAATAGAAACGAACACAACCATAAGCATCTCGTCGGAACTCTTCCGTAGGCAACCTCCACCATTAACCATGTTACGAACTATGTGACATCATAGACAAGAGGATTATTATTTACAATGAAATAAAAAGTATAGCCAAGAAAAACATTGAGGGGCCGTTTACTCAAATGCTTACTCAGTAAGTGCTTACCAATAGGAATCAACATTATATTTTATTTGTATCGGATAAAATTGTAGTACATCAAAATGGTATCTCTATGCAACAATTTACCCTGTAAGCGCTTACCCAGGTAAGAGTCGTCACCCTCACTTACCGGGTAAGACTCTCCATCATAATCATCGCTCTTAGTAGGTAAAATTCTTGGCCCTTGCTATGTTAATCTGGTGAGAAAAATTGTCCGAAATGTTTAGTAAACGACCCATAATATTGGAATTTAAGAATGAGAACTTCCCAACACTTATAATCTGAATTATGTAATGCTTTGACTGGGAGAACAAAATAAAAGTCTTCAGTTGATCATCAATATTAGACAATAATCTCGATCAAGATTGAGATAAATATGCAGTTGATGTGCATCCATATATTAGGACGATCCTTTCCTAATGTATAGTGTCATTACCCTTTATGATTCATTATCCTCCTTTATGGTATCAGAGCAGAGCCTAGGCTCTTCTTCCTCTCCTTTGCAACCTCTTTAAAACCTCTACCATCATAGTGTCACGATACCCCAATGGCAGGAAACGAAGCCCAACCACAGCCGCAAAACAAACCTCTTCACCCCTTTTATACAATATTGAACATCCAACACAAGGTCCGAGTTCTTGATGGCACCAAGGTTTCTTATTCGACCTAGGTAAAACTATGTCTTCTTTACGCACGCGGACACCAAGTCTTGCATCACATTGACGGTACGCAGCCTCCAAACAAAACCGATCTCAAGTTTTCGTCTTGGATTGAGATTGATGCACATGTCCCGCAATGGATCTATGGTACTCTATATAACGAGTTATTGGCACGAGTCCTTGAAAACGAATCCACAGCCTTTAAAGCTTGGTTACGAGTCAAAAACATCTTATTTTAACAATGAACTATTTTTTGTTGCATCACTAGGGCAACACTTATTTTGTATCTAATGTATTTATTGGTTAATTAGAACATTTTTAACAATTATGTTATTTTAAAAAAAAATGCAGATTTGAGAAAAGTTTGATCGAACAGTCATGCTAAACTCTATTCTAAAAATAGAGAAAAAAAGAGACAGAATGTAAAAATATTAAAATTTGGAAGAAAAAAAGTAGGATATTTGTTCGAGATCATCTCAGAGCATCTTCAACAACTATCCACCAATAAGAGGTATTAAAAATAAATGTTTAAAAATAGATAAATAATCTATACTATATTATAAAACATTTGACAAAAACTCTTAAAAACCATTTTTTGTGCGCAAAGTACTGTTTATTAATGCATATTACTTAAAACTCAAGATTGCAAGTAGATTGTGCGCAAGTACAACTTATTAAAGCTCCATATCTGAATTCGTGTAACTAACTGCAGATAAGTATAATCAAATACAAGATAAACATCTCATTTTAACTATAAAAAATTTAAAATATAATTAGGATAATCATTGAATTCTAACAGAATACTTAAATATTATCTTTATAAAATTTATAATATTAAACCAAAAATAAATTATTTTATTATTAAACTTAAATTAAATTATAATAAAAAAATAAATTAAAGAAATTACATAAAAAATGAGAACTTTTAAATAGTTGATTTGATATTAAAATTGATATATATTTTTTTCAAAATTTTATGATATCTTCAAATTTATATTGTATTAAAAAATAAAATCATTATTGCTATCTTAAATACGCATAAAATCGTATTATAACATCGACAGAGACAAATAATAAAATAGAAAATTAAAATCAAGATATGTCTTGCTGCATTGTGCGAGTACTCTTCTAGTATTATATTATATGTATTAAATGTACTAATAATACAGATAATGTTAAAATTGCTAAAATAGAGTTGGCCGGTGTTGGAGTTGTATGTAATTTTTTTTAAATAGTTTTGAATTTTATACCTATTTTAGAAAAATTATAATATAGCCATTGGAGATGCTTTTAACATATAGTTTAACAACCACAAGGGTGGTGTCTGATTAGTTTGAGCTTGACTCCAAAGGTCAAAAGTACCAGGAGGTCCCATGTTCAAATCCAATGAGGAATAAAAATCCCCTTGTGGCTACGAATGTTCAAATGCGGTGACTCCGGGCTATCTGCAAAGCAAGTGGTCGTCCTGAGATTAGTCGGCACGCATAGCGGGTTGGATATCCAAGTTAAAAAAAACATACAATTTAACACAACTGTTGTAAAAAAAACTTCAAAATCTCCAACATCTCTCATTTAACATGTGTACCCAGTAATAAATAGAAAACTTAACCACAAGGGTGGTACTCGAATGGTTTGAGCTCAGACTCCAAAGGTCAAAAGTGTCTGGAGGTCGCAGGTTCGAATCCAATGAGGAATAAAAATCCCCCTTGTGGCTACAGAGGTTCAAATGCAGTGACTCCGGGTTATCGGTGAAGTGGATGGGTCGGTCTGGAATTAGTCGGCTCATATAACGGGTTGGATATTCAGGTTAAATATTTTTAAAAGTAATAAAATTTTAATGATTATTTTATCTAATAATTTCTTATATTGTTTTGGGTGAAGTAAAGCCAAATCTCATATGAACCTCTTATGAAGTGATCACGAGTCTTCTTGTGATTCACCACCACTCATGTATGCTTCATTATCCTTCCCTACTCTTTTCCCTCCCACTTCTCATAATGTCAACACCACTACAATCTTCACACTTGGCCGGAAAATTTTCTACCCCGAAAAACCTCCGAAACTCTTCGGCCGAAGCCATCAAGTTTCCGGTACACGGTGTCGGGCTAGACGGCAAGTTAGGTTCGAAGATGAAAATGACGAAGAATATGAACACAATGAAGAGATAGCGATGTTGGAATTCTACAGTCAGGTCGCAAAGAACGAAGCACTTTTGGTTAAAGCAGTTGTGGACGATGAAGAAGTCGAGATTCTCGTCTTTAAGGTCGTAATTCAGTTTCTAAAGTTGAATCTTGAAAATCCCGCGAATTTTCTTGCATGACTTGTATACAATGCATTAAAACTCGGTATATATTTTCACGAAAGTATAAAGCATTTGAACTATCGCTGCTCGGTTCCAAATTTTCTAAACTCGACCGTTATATAATTAAACATAACTGGTTTTTTGATTCACTTCTATGCTATCTATTTGGATTTACGTTCGGATTGTTTCAAGATCTGGATTTAGGTATATAACCTTAAACGAAATTTTAATTAAATTTATGACACCCTAGCCTATTAAAGAAAAAATGGCTTAATATTATCTCAAGGTCGTTTACCCAAATGCTTATTGATAGGAGCCAACACTATAATTTATTTTATCAGGTAAGATTGTAGTATATTAGAACAGTATCATATGCAATAATTTATCCGGTAAATGCTTACCCGGGTAAGAGTCGTCACCATCACTTACCGGGTAAGACTCTCTGTCTTTATCATCGTTCTTACTGGGTAAGATTTTCGGCTCATGTGAATACATTTAATATAAATTTAATTAATACATTTTTTTTATCTTACCTTACCAAAGTACTGATGATGTGGATTCTCGTGATTGATGGACAAATTTTTATCCGTTGTATCTCACGTTTTGGATTGTACGTAATGGTAGGGATTCTCATCAAGCTTGAGCTCAGGAACTTCTTTCGACCCGACAAGAAGCATTCTTCCGGCGAAAGCGGTTATAAAATGCATTGATCGAGTTAAAGGCCCATTTGATCCATCTAATATTGACTACATCGAGAAGGATTTGACAGTTGAAGCCTTTAAGACAGTTGTTCAAAAAATAAAAGAGGTTCGGGATAATCTTCAATCGAATTGATGAAACTCAATTCTCATTTACCAATAGAATTTGTAACGATTACGGTTGTAATTCATTACTAAATGAAATTGACTTTTGCCTACGGAAATTTTCTTTGGAAATCTGTCGCTAAATGTTGATTCGCCACAAAACCATCATAAAAATTTGTGGGTAGTTCAAATCAGTGACAGATTACCCAGACTGGGTGATCCATTGGTATTTTCTAGGAAAACATTGGATTCTACCAAACGATTGATATTTTCTGGGTGATCCGTATATGATCACCGAACGATTGGTATTTTGCTTACATTATTCAAAAATGATATCGTGATGTATTGTACGGGTACACAACTAGTCACATAATAACACATGGCACACACTTATACGTCTAACAATTACCAAGTTTCTTCAACAGTTCCTATGAGAACATATATAAGGTAGAGGTTTTTTACCTTAACCATTCAGAGATGCTCTTCTTTTTACCCTAACCTCAACTGGGATTATATGATTTTCAGCGGTTTTTCTTTGAATCTGAATCTAATCGTCTTTTTCTAACTTGAGAGTTGTTATGATCTGAAAATCATCAAGAAAGAAGTTATAGACTTAGGTGCCGTTTACCAAACGCTTACCCGGGTAAGCGCTTACCAAGTCATTTTACTTTACCGGATGAATTGGCAAGGGCTAATAATTACCGGTAAGAGCGAAGACAAGAATCTAGAGTCTTACCCGGTAAGTAAGAACGAGGACTCTTACCATGGTTAGCACTTACTGGGATAAATTGTTGCACATGATGTGTTTTAGTGAATAAAATCTTACCTGACAAGTAAGAGATAATGTTGAATTTTACCGGTTAGTACTTACCGGGTAAGTGTTTAGGTAAACTGCCCCTTATACACATACCTTAGAAGAAGAAACCAACCATGCAGACATGCCTGTTGTAATAATAGATTTTTCTGAATATCCTACCAACACAAATTTGGTAAACGCTAACCGTTAGAATGCAGTCTGAGTCGGCACTAACCACTGACCGCGTAACAGCCCCTCCCTTAGCTTACCAGGTCAGAACCATGGAGCGGTACAGGCAGTCTGAATATCCTGTGAATTCAACATTTTGTTAACCATTGAAACTAAAGAATGATGGATGTTCATCATGGTGTCCAAGGCTCCATTCGAACCCATGCTCCAATCATCATGAGCATTAGCAAGCCATCCAAAGCACGAAGATCTTGTTGTGAAAACATAACCATTAAAGCGAAATGATAAGATCACAAGTCACTCCGTAAGATATACGAAGCAAGCGGCTGACATACAACCATCTACTCTCCACGAACCACCAAAAAAGGACTCTTGCAGTACATTATGTAAACTTGTAGCCAGATCCACATTTTCTGATGAACTTGAACCATCACCATTGAGTGAAACAGTCTCCTGCTTTCTCCAACATAGATTCACTCTGGTAAAACTAACCTGTGCATCATGATCACAATGTGAATATCACACAGCACATAACACACATACAAGCCTCATTCCCAAAAGGAGGTACCATTTGACAATATTTGAATGGAAATGTTTATACTAAGTGATTGTGATGGACCAAATAGTTCTTAAAGCATCTAAATCATATCTAATACTGAATACTAAAGCCAATGCAGCCAACTCATTCTTTCCACGGGTACTAAACAGATTAGCAGCATCCTTAAAAAGCTTCTCCCTTTCAAGCTGTGAAGCCGGAAGACTTCCAGCTATTGCACAAACGTGATACAAGACATCAGAGTCGTTTCTGGCGATTGAAACAGCCTTCGCTAGTAATTCATTCTTCATTCTCATTCGTTCATCTACGTTTTGAAAAATGGGAGAGTTCAAAAGAACATGCCACAAGATTATCAATGATGAATATTCTTTCCAAAATCCACCCATGCAGAGAAGGTAAGCTTCGACCACAGGATCTGGTTTCTGCCTTGCAACATTTACAGCCTCTTCAAAGTGACCCCATTCTATTTCCAGCAATATAAGTTCAGCAAGGCACCTCTTTTTAGTTAAGAAACTCCTCATCTCATCCTTGGAGCGAAAAGAACGAACAAACTTCATCATATTTCTGAAATCCTTCACACCATGATAGTAACAAGCACCTTTGTCGAAAAACTTCAGTTCGGAGCCACCACATTCTCCCCAGCGGCCTATGAACTGAAAACCCATTTCAAATAATTTTCCATCAGCACAAGTGTCGAGACACTTGGCAAAATCTCCCACCTTGTCGTATGCTTCTGCTGCAAGCACATAACATTTTGCAAGAGCGAAACAGTCTCCTGCTTTCTCCAACATTAATTCACTCCAGTAAATGTCACCTGTGCATCACAAAAGTTCCATTTTCAATGTGAATATCACACAAAACAAATACTACCCTCATCCCCAAAAGGAGGTAGCATTTGACCGTTGAGCTGAAATCTTCAACATTTAAATGGAGTCGATTGCAAATATAACATGAAATGTTCACAATAGGTAGTGGGCAAAATAGTTCTTACAAAACCATGTGAATCTAATATTGAAAAGTCAAATGGATTTTAAAAAGGAGGGAGTGTGGAAAAGAAGTAAGAGATTACCTGCTGTTCTATAATCCTCTATCTTATAGTAGCACTCAGCAGCCAACTCATTCTTGCCAATTTCTCTGAATAGCTTGGCAGCATCCTTAAAAAGCTTCTTGCTTTCAAACTTGGAAGTGGGGGGACTCTTCGCAATTGCAGAGAGTTGACAGAAGACATCATAATCACTTTTGGCTATTGAAACAGCCTTTGTTAGTAATTCATTCTTCTGTGCAACTGGTTCATCTGTGCCTTGAAAAATTGCAGAGTACGAAAGAACATGCCACAAGATTATCAATGATGAATCTTCTTTACACAATCCACCCATGCGGAGAAGGTAAGCTTCGACCACAGGATCTGGTTTCCGCCTTGCAACATTTACAGCCTCTTCAAAGTTACCCCATTCTATTTCTAGCAATATAAGTTCCGCAAGACACCTCTTTTTAGTCAAGAAACTCCTCATCTCATGCTTGGAGCAAAAAGAACCAACACATGCCATCATGCTTTTGAAATCCTCCATCTCATAGAAACACTCAGCAGCCAACTCAGTTTTGCCAATTTCTCTAAATAGCATGGCAGCATCCTTGAAAAGTTTCTTCCTTTCAAGCTGTGAAGCTCGAGGACCATCAGCAAGTGCACGTAGGTGATAGGCCTCAGCCAATCTTGCAGAATTCTTGTCTGCAGCCTTCAAGAAGCACACCTGTGCCATATTGTAATTCTTCTCGCAAAATAGCTGCAATTAATGAAAAATATATCATTAGAAATCTCTGTCAAAACCAACTGGTCAATTGCCAAGAATTGTAATGGATCAGACCTTTACACCACGTGACTTCCACTCATCTTTACTGCTTAGAATTTGCATTTTGTCAGCAAATGAATCACTCAGTCGTCTGACTTCAACAAGGCTTAACTTCTTCCAGTAATCATAGATTGGTTGAGAAAATCCCGTGGTTTCACAAATCCATAACCTCTGCCTTGTGCGAGTGATTGCTACATACAACTGCTTCAGTTCAGAGCATAAAACATTGTGCTTTTCCATATTGAAACTTGAAGATAGCGCAGTAGACGCCAAGCTAGGGTGGCCTTTTTCTTTCATATATTCATATATGATTCTCCATTCATTTGAGAATGAGGATGTACTAAAAAAATCATACAATAACACATCCTACAAAACATGCAATATAGTTAAATACTAGATGGTGTTAAGAACATATAATTTTCATGTCAAAAATTAGCGCAACTAAGAAGAGATGGATTACCTGAAACTCTAAGCCTTTGGACTCCATGATTGTTAGAACAATGGATTTATTCCCAATGATGTTAACTATCTTCTCTTTAAGGCATTCATCACGAACTAAAATAGCTTGCTCAGCACCAAATTCAATGAACTGCTGACAACCATCTCCATTCCTTCCAAATATAGTTTTGACAGCATCATTACCTCTATCAGTTTCTAGCAAAATAGGTAGTTCCCCATGAATTCTACTAGTCTCTGGGCTCAAATGGTCAACAAACAAAGGAAAAAAGTGGCAAAGAAGGTCAATAACACTTTGTGCCAAATTTAAAACTCCAGTATGCGTTCGGAAGTTGTCACTTAATTGAAAAATCTTGGAGATTTGTCCCTTTTCAGCACCGAAAAGAAACATTCTAAAGAACAGGCACCTTATATCTTCAAATCTGAAACCAATACCCTTTGCTATAGCTTGGGCTGTATCTCCACAAAATGCAAAGCCCTCATGAACATTTGTACACACATATTTGAAAAGCGCAATTTGCCTCATTGAAAGGTCTTGAACCTCATCAATATAAACATAATCTATGGGATCTCCATTGTATCCTTCAACTTCAAGCCTTTGATGAAGATCATTCACTAAATCAGCCAAATCAAAAAATCCCTCTTCTGTTTTTTTCTTCTCATATTGAAGAAAAATTGCATAGATGATAAGTCTCTTTTGTGCATCTAAAATGGAAGTACGTCCATCACAAAGTGCGACATAATCCTCTCTTGGGAGGATCCCATTGGGAGCTTGATCACCTGTTGTTAACCCACCCTTTATCACGGACATTATTTCAGTATAAACTGTGGAGGGATCAAGATTTTTTGTCAACTTCTCATTGAAGTGAGGCCAATATCTTGAACAAAATTTCTCATAAGTAACATCCATGGACATAATATTCTGTTCCAAGAAATCAAGTCTTGAGGTACTGGTTTTATTTCTGGACTGCTTCCCGACATAAGGAAATCTCTCAAAGTATGAAACGCCCACTGTTCCATCAAGCATCAGCAGAAATTTGTGAAATGTTATAATTAATGGATATGCATCATGTGGGAGATGAACAAAATGATCTGGAATATCATCAGACATCATCATCTTATCGATATCATGAATAGACACCGAGCTCCTCTGGGCTGACAAATTCCCACCACATGCCAACCTGGACATTTTATGAAGTCATCATCAGAAATGTATAACTTTTCAAGATATCTTGTGAAATAATATGCTGCAAAGTACACACATGAACTCATCTTGAAACTGAG